TTTTAATACAAAGAAAGTAGAAGAAATTAGAAAATAAGAAATCATAAAACAACCTCTCGTTCTCAATTTCTTCTTTGCTTCTCGCATATTTGTTGCATTGTTGTAGCTTCACATGACAGTCATGAGTCAACCACCACTCTATTCCATACCTTGTTCACCACTAGAAAGGAGGTCTAATATTAATAGAACCTTCCATTGCCTATTTTCCAAAAAAATACTAATAGAACCTAAGCAAGCATTATGCGAGAAGATAACTCTCATTAAAAGTGACCTTCCAAGAAGGTAAGAATCCTTTAAAAAAACCCCTTTTAATAAATCAAAAAGAAAAGAAAAGAAATAATAATAATAATAATAATAAAACACAATAACAAACGGGTTGAAGAAAAAATGGAAAAACAAAATAGAAATATGATTTTAAGATAAATTTTTTATATAATTTTATATGTCATTTAAGTAATTAATTTTATTTATTTATTTAAAATTTATAATATTAAATGCATTAATTTATTTAATAACATATAAAAATTATAGTAAAAATTTATTTTTATAGTATCACTAACAAAATATTACTAAATTTAGGAAGAAAGGAGTTACGACCATAGTTTTGGACTTTACACCCCATCACTGTTAGGTATAATTTTTTTTTCTGGCCGATGAAAAAAAGACTTGACTTTTCCCTAAAAAGAAAGTTTTTTTTATAAAAATAATGATTAATAAGTTAGTATTGTTAAATATTAGTAACTGAGAATTCAATCCTCAAATCTGATGAACAGTCCACCAACCTCGTTGAGGCGCGCGGCCATCAAACGGGTTGATGGAGTTCAACTCTATCATGGAATCTAGCTTTCATCTACCCTCTCAAATGTTAATGGCGCATATTTCTTCGTCCAACTTGACCTCGTCGTCAACTACAAGTCTCAAATCTTAATCGGCTTTTTTAATACTTTCTCTTTTCAATTTTACCATTCTTAGTTATTTATTTATTTAATAAAATAAGGATATACATAATAATGACCGTAATTAACAAAATTTTATATTATTTATGGAGTATTCTTAATTATCGTAATCAATATTTAAATAAACTTCTTTACTTATTTTATTATAAAATAATTGTTATTTTTTATTTTTTAAAATTAATAA